AAATAGGATACTAGGGTTGAATCGTGGCGATCAATCTCTATCATGATTAAATTCGAAAGCATAAGATTTGATAATTCGAAGATATTTTCATCCAATAATCAACGCATTGAGGGAATTTTTATCTCATAAGTAGTATTTGAAGAATTGTATTCACCATTTGACAGCACTTAATCACTCTTACGTATACCAATACGATGTTTTCATTTGAAAAACTGATATTGTAACAGGCACTTCCTAAAGGTCATATCAACAAATCAATGATGATAATCACAAATGATAACAGAATGATAGATGTTCTGATAGCTGTAAATATCAACTATAGTAATTCTTCACTCCTGTAATATTTATCTTTCTTCGCAGGATCATGGAACACATCCATTGTTGGCATCTTGGTTGGCACCTAAACGCTACATTTTATTATTCCTTGAAGACCTTGACATGTTTATGAAAGGAAAATAAAGATTTGAATATACTGAAGTTTCACATGGTACTGGGATGATGAGCTCATAAATTTGTAGTGGTCAAATAAAGTTCCAAGTAGATCACTACGTTTCGTGAAGTACACTGAAAGATATACAGTCATTGTTATAACGTCGCTGAACTTACCCCTTGAAGCGTATTCAATTCAGACATTTTTTCACTATTCTTCTTGGCGGATTTCTTTTCGGTATCGTTTCCAACTTGCTGCTCTTCTGCAAAAAAACACATTCATTCTCAGGAACATTGCTCAAATTTTGGGTTTTTTTGTGAAGCATTACGCAATAGGCACCCTAATGTGGGAATAGATTCCGTTACATAGATTGAAACTGATTACGCTAGCGAAATTGCCGAGCAATTCAATGGATAAACTACGAAAATCTCATCAAACTGCATTCGATTCTGTGTAATATTAGACTGTTTGATTATAGCTCCAGACAATTTTCTGCTTTCAATTAAATATTAAGAAATTTCCGCCCAGCGAAGCATGTTCATCGTTTATTCTTTCAATCGGGACCGCTTTAGTCTCAAAGTAAGGATGAACGCACCGGCAACTTTCACATCTGCCGACAGTTTCTCGTCGCCTTGTGGATCGCTTATTTTCCGTTTGGCAGGATCTTCAATTTTCTTCAAATCAATTGGTTCAACTCTGAAAAGTTTTGTATCAACAAATCAACGAGCTCTTCTGAATCTTACTCGAAGACCTTCAAAAAAATCATCCGCAAATAAACTCACGAATGCGATTGTTGTGTTTGAATTTGTTTTGTTCCAGAATACTGATTGCTTTCAGGTAATCCCTTAAATTCCCTAATTACCATCCTCATGAACGGAACGAAAGAAGCAGAAAAGGACGATATAGCACCATACATTCTTAAGTGTGCCACAATGTGTTTCATTGATATCAATGACAGCTACAGTCCGTGTTTCGCGCAAAGACAGAGTTTTGATAAATGATTTTTGCATCATTGATGAATAGTTCACGAGACAGACGGTTGTTGATAACTTTTGTGTGTTTGAAACATTCAATATTCAAGTAACCTTCGAATTACTCAAATTTTTTCCCCGCCATCTGCACATATCATTCATACGCTGAACAAACCACTTCACTCAACAACACTACGAAATAATGCTCGAGAAATACTATTTCTGTTGAGAAAACCACATCTGAATCAGCATTGAGAGTGCGTTTTCCCAATGGAAATTTTCATGTTTCTCTTTTCAGGCTTTTTTTTTGATAGTTCACGTTTAGAATTCAATGGATCAGAGTTTTTGAATAATCATGCCTCGGCCTTTGCAACTTTCTTTGAAACGTTTTCATGATGCCAGTAACTTTGCGATTGCTACAACGTAACAATCAGTCACAGAATTAGTTTACAATTCGGCAGCAAATCAATTTCCTGCATGGTGTCGTCAGTCACGTCCTCACTCTGCACTTTAAAGCTTAACAGTAAGCTCAGACTCCTATTCAACGATTTGCTGTACATATGAAAATGATAGTGCTCGGAAATTAATCTCATCAATTGAACAGACTGCAAGTCATCGGAAAGGTTTAATATCGCCAATAAGGATGGATAGGTGCGATGAAACACGATAACTCCTTTTGATGTAATGTAACGATTTCATTGACAATTAAGAGAGAGTACTTTCACATCGCTGAGAAAGCAATATTTATGTGATAAACATCGGTCAATACGAATCATTTATCACTATCAGTAGAACAATCATTTACCAGTAGCACTGTCAATATCAATAGGACATTTGTAATGGCACAATTAAATTTTCAATAAATAATGAATGAACGCATGTGAAATCAATCTATGAAAACTCAGCACCATTTCAAGGAATCATTCAGAAGCGATTAGTTTCGTCAAAGCCAAAAACACAGCGTATGAAATGTGATCACTTATGAAAAACCGACAGAGTGCGTTATTCGCTAGGCGGATTACAACGGATATGTGTGAATTTCACATCACCAATTGGATTTTGCACTGTATTCGGTGACGATAGCGCCCATATGCCGTTCGCTTTGCACGTGATGCTGGCCGCAAAAATACCCACTTTCTTATTATAATCACGATATTTTATTGGCATAAGGATCAATCTAGCGTTGCGATGAGTGTCCGCATTCGGCCATGCCTGGATTGATGGAGGAATGAGGTAGCGACCGTTTCGTTGCTCTTGCTTCTTGAAGCTCATACAAATGAGTTCAACTTGAGTGGCACTCCTTCGAACCACTTTTGATGCAGAGCAGTATGGACTGTTTCGTTTGCATGGTTGTGGTGGAATCACTTGGAGAGTCGGACACTTTGGTGATTTCACTGAAACATCAAGTGATGAACTTATGAGGATACGATGTTTCAAAATGTAAATTTCATTTGCGCCCAAACGCTCGAGGAATTCCACACATAGAACTGCACTTCTTTCGATAAGCCAACATAAAGTTATAGATCCCAACTTCCTGGCGATTGTTTTGATGCGAAACTGAT